TTTGTTTTTTTTTTTTTAATCTTAGCCATTCTGAATGGAGTAAGATAAAAACAATCTGCATTTCCTTGATGGCTAAAAATGTTGGACATTATTTTATTTCTCAGCCATTTGCATTTCATCTTTAGAGAACTCCTGTTCAGCTGTTCAGCTCCTTGCACCACTTTTTAATTGGGTTGTTTATTTAGTTTTTTGAGTTCTTTGTATATGCTAAATATTAACCCTCTGTCAACGGTATCACTGGTAAGGATTTTTTTTCCCCATTCTGTAGGTTGCCTCTTCACTTGAATGATGATATCCTTTGATGTACAGAAGCTTTTCAGTTTCCTATGGTCCCATTGGGCAATTGTTGGGCTTTATCACTGCATTATATGAGTCCTGTTCAGAAAGTCCTTTCCTATGCCTATAAGTTTCAATGTATTTCCTACTTTCTCCTCTATCTGATTCAGGGTATCAGGTCTTATGTTGAGGTCCTTGATCCATTTGCAGTTGAGTTTTGTGCGTGATGAGAGATAGGGATCTAGCTTCATTCTTATATATGACACTATACAGTTTGACCAGCACCAAGTTGAACATGCAGCCTTTTCTCTAGTATGTATTTTTGGCTTCTTTTGTAAAAAAAAAATCAGGTGACTGTAAGTGTGTGGACTTAAATCTGGGTCCTCAGTTCTTTTCCACTGATCAATGTGTCTGTTTTTATGCCAGTACTATGCTGTTTATTACTATAGCTCTGTAGTATAATTTGAGACCAAGGATGGTGATGTCTCTAGAAGTTCTTTTATTATTCAGGATTGTTTTCATTATCCTAGGTTTTTGTGTTTTCATATGAAATTGTGATTATTTTTTTCAATTTCTTAGAAGAGTTATGTTGGAATTGTAATGGGTATTGTATTGAATTTGTAGATTGCTTTTGGTAGAATAGCAATGTTCACAATATTAAGCCTATTGATCTGAGCATGGGAACTCTTTCAATTTTCTGAATCTTCTTCAATGTCTTTAAGTTTTTCTTATACAAGTCCTCCACCTCCTTTGTTAGATTTATTCCAAGATATTTTATATTTATATTTTTGAGGCTATCAAAAATGGAATTGTTTCCTGGATTTCTTTCTTAGTATGTTTGTTGTTGGTATATAAGAGGGCTACTGGTTTGGGGGTGTAAATTTTATATTCTGCCACTTTGCTGAATGTATCAACTCTAGGAGTTTTCTGGTAGACTATTTAGGGGCCTTTGTGTATAGGCTTATATCATCTTTGTGCTGGATAGCTTCATTTGTCAACTTGACACATCTGGATAGAGGGAACCTCAATTGAAGAACTGTCTTTCTTGGATTGGCCTGTGGCCATGTCTGTGGGGCACTTTTTTTTTTTTATTATTGAGTAATGTAGGGAGGGCCCAGTCCATTGTGTTCTGTATTATCTAAGAAAGGTGTTCTGTATTATCTAAGAAAGCAGGCTGTACATGGACCAGGGAAGCTAGGCAGTAAGCAACATTTCTCCATGGTCTGTGCTCCAGGTTCCTTACCTGAGTTCTTGCCTTGGTTTCCCTTGATGATGGACTGTGAGTTCCTGCCTTGGTTTCCCTTGATGCCAAATAAACCCTTTCCTCCACAAGTTGGTTTTGTTCAGTGTTTTTTTTTTAATCATCACAGCAATAGAAAACTAACTAGAACAATGTGTGAATAAGGATACTTTGACTTCTTCCTTTCCAATTTATATCCCCTTGATCTCCTTCCTTTGTCTTATTGCTCTAGCCAAGACTTCAAGTACTATATTGAACAGGAATGGGGAGACTAGATCTGTTTTTCTTGTGATTTTAATGGGAATTCTTTCTCTTTTTCATGATTTAGTATGATGTTGACTGTGGCTTGTGATATCTTGCCTTTGTTATGTTGAAATATGTCCCCTGTATGCCTAGGTTCTCCATGACTTTTATCATGAATGGATGTTGTATTTTGTCAGAGGTCTTTTCTGCATCTAATGAGATGATCATGTAATTTCTGTCCTTGAGTCTATTTATATAATGGACTACATTTATTACATAGGTGAGACCATCCTTTCATCTCTGGGATGAAGCCAACTTGATCATAATGGAGAACCTTTTTGATGTGTTCTTGCATTTGGTTTGTATTTTATTAAGAATTATTGTATCTCTGTGCATGAAAGAGATTGGTCTATAGTTTTCTTTTTTGCTTGGGTCTTTGGTTTTGGAATTATAGTGATAGTGGCTTCATGGCTTCATATCATTTGGGAGTGTTCTTCATTTTCTGTTTTATGAAATAATTTGAGGAGTGTTCATATTCTTTGAAGGTTTGTTAAGATTCTGTGGTGTATCCATTTGGTCCTGGGCTCTTTTTAGTTGGGAGATTTAAAAAAATATATTATTTTTATTTTATGTGTATGAGTGTATTACCTGCATGTATGTGAGTGCACCTGTGTTGTGCAGTGCCATGGAGGTCAGAAGAGGGCTTTGGAGTTCCCTGGAACTGGAGTTAAGGACGGTTCATAGCTGCCGTGTGGGTGCTGGGACTCAAACCCAGGTCCTGTGCGAGAGCAGTCAGTGCTCTTAACTGCTGAGCCATCTCTCTAGCCCCATTAGTTGGCTATCTATCTCATTGATTATTATGGGTCTGTTTGAATTATTTGATACTCTTTTAAAATATTTAGTTTTTTTGTGTGTCTTGTGCCTGCATACTATGTCCATGTAATACAATGCCAGCAGAGGTCAGAAGAGGTGCTAGATTCCCTGGAACTGGAGTTACAAATGGTTATTAACCACCTTGTGGGTGCTGGGAACTGAACCCAGGTCCTCTGCAAGAGCAGCCAGTACTCTTAATTTGAGCCATCTCTCCATCCCATGATACTCTTTTAAAGTGTATTTTCCTCACAGCAAAATGAGTTTTGTGGAGAAAGAAAAAAAATCCATTATATTTTCTTTGTCAATTAGTTAGAAAAATTAAACTCCTTGTAAAGATTGCTGATTGCTGAAGCTAGAGTAGAAATTTATCTCTTTATTTTCTATAGTACGCCAAAGGGAAAGACAAAGTTCAATATTGTGAATATTTTGAAGAAAGAAAAATTTTAATATCAAAACTATCTGAATTAAATTTCTGTCCAAAATGTCTGCTTTTTATTTTTGCTAATGATGGAACCTTACTGCTAAAATTCAAATTGTCTTGAAGTTCATGACCTAGAACTGGCTGTGCTGTCCAGGCTGACCTGGGACTAATTATCCTTTTTGGCCTCCTGAGGGGATTATAGGTGTATTCCACCACACCCAGCTCTTATGTATTCTTTTTTTATTTTTGTATAGGAATATACAGTGAAGACACCAACTAAACTAAAAATACAGCAAAGAGAAGACAAATATATACCTACTGAGGAAAGTAATAAAAGGAGAAGAACAGTCTTTGATTTTGATGTTAATTCAGATAGTTCAGAAGCTACTGATCTCTTGGTAAAAATATTTAAATAACCAGCATTTTCACTTGCTCATGTCATTCATTATTTGTATTATTGCTTGATGTCAATATATAGCATATATTCACAGTATCTACCATTGTGATAATGAAATACAACACAAACCTTATGTTTTCATGTCATTTGAGAGAAATTAGGGTTCAAACAATTTCCCTTTAATTTCAGAAAACATTACATATAAAAATACCTGATATGCTATATTTGGCCTATGAGATGACTCATCATTGTATTCCAAAGAAATTACGAAGTTTGTACAACATAAAAAAATACTTAAACTGGTTTGTATTTATATGATGAAATTGTTTGACAACTTTGAACATTTCTATCATTCCTAAGAGTGATGTAGTAAGGATAACATATTGAAGGAAGCTGCTTCCCCTACCATTTTATAACTGTTTACTCCCTGTTTGCACATACCAATATTTTCCAAAATGTTGACAATGGTTAAATAATTAAACTTAGAATAATTTAAAATAGATGAGGAGTACCACACTAAATGGAGCAATAAACCTTTAGTGATAAAATTCAAGGTAAACCTAATTCTTTCATTTTTTTCCATTTAGATCTATAAGATAGTTTTAAGATTTTTACCAATTAAGAGCCTGTATTTTTGTTGTTGTTGCTGCTGTTATTGTTCTGGAACAATGAGTACTTGAACCTTAAAACCCTGTTATTGAAGTTAACATACAGAGTCTCTAGTCCAGAATCCTTTTGTTTTATAATCATCTTAATGATTAAAATTGTGAAATAGAGCCTATCAAAAACATCATAGATTAGTTGAATTATTTATTAAAACAGTTTTCTGTAGAAATAAAGAGAATGGTGTTACTTTCATTTTAAAGTTGAGGAAATTTAGCCATACAAGTATCTTTTAAAAGATCACATAGTAAGGCACAGAGCCAAAATTTGAATATACTTTGAGTCCATACCCTATGTAAGTCATTGTAGGTAGTTAAAACTGCAGCCCAGATACTTAAAATATAACGAGACTTGCTAGAAAAAGCCTGGATGTTGGAATCAAACATTCCAATAGTCAATCCTTGTTATTTTTCTAGAGCTAATTTAGGCCAGTTTTCTAGCTACCATGATTTAAAAACATATTTAAAATATTTTCATTATCCTTTTACATTTTGAAATTTTTTTGTGTTGTAAACACATTTCTTTTTTTTTTCTTTATTTTTATTGAGTTTTTGTGCTTTACATACAATGGCTCTTAATCAAATTTAGACCCCCCTCTCTTTGACCCCCTAAACCACTCCCCCCAAACCTCATGCATTCTGTCATATATGTTAAGTCCTATCTGGTCAAGCATTTGTATCCAACTCTCCTTCAGTGCAAGTTCATCCACTGGAGCCTGGTCAGCGTATCTATTAATCTTAAAGAAGATCTACTTTCCCTCACTGAGCAGTAATCAGTTGGGAACAGTTCCCAGGCTAGGGCCAGTGCCTGCCACCCATTTCCCTCACTCCATTTTGGGCCTCTGTCTGAAGTCATCATAGGTCATGTGCATTGCTGTAAGTTCACATGAGCAAGCTTCTAGTGGCCTGAAAGCCTCGGTTTCTCTGTGTTGATGGACCACCCTTGAGTTTTACAATCTTTCCACTCCCTCTCCTGCAATGATTCCTGAACCATGGGTAGGTAAGGTTTAATATAGGAGTCTTATCCTGGTATACACTCTTCAGTCTCTTATTCTCTTAAACTTAGTCAGTTGTGGCCTTCTGTGTGCATCACACTCTGTTGTATAAGGAAGCATCTCTGGTGAGAGTTGAGGGATGAACTAGTATTCTCCCCAACCATTGTTCCACTATGTTTCATGAGCCATTAGGTATAGAGATTCCACTGTAGTTGTGTCACCTAGGGCTGGACATCTCTCAGATGCATATTCTCTGTGAGTGACCAGCTTTGGAACTCTGTAATAGTCTCTATTTGTTGCAGAAAGAGGCTCGAGTGGTGGTATATGGTACACTTGTCTGTAAATATAAGGATCCATATTTAGCATATCGTAAGAAATTTCGTTTGTCTAGAGAAATGATAGAGATAGGGTTTTCTCTAGGATCTATGACCTCTCCAACAGTGTGTGTGTGTGTGTGTGTGTGTGTGTGTGTGTGTGTGTATGTCTATAATTACAGTACCACCCATGAATTCACTCCCATTGAGAGGGCTTTAAGTCCAATTAGATAGTTGTTGATTATCCCCCTAGATAACAGTGCCACTACTGCACCAATAGAGGTAGTTTGCTGTGCCAGTTGTTGTGGTTATTAGACTTTAGAGCTGGGTTGGACCATTGCTTGATTTTCTCCCTTAGCAGTTTGCATAGTGTCTTTTAGAACTGTGAGAGCTAGTCTTTAGGGAGAAGGCTTCCAGGTTAGTTCCAGCTCCATTGCTCCAAGTCCTATGTCTGAAGTATATCCTGTCTTCAGCAGTAGGGTCTTATCTCCAAGTTCTGGGAGATAATCAAGTGTTCTAACAATAGCCTGTATTATTTTTGGAGTCTCTTGGACTACTCTGACCAACAACTCAATGGGAGACCTCTCCTGTCTGGCACTGTGCTCCTTGCCATATAGCCCTCAGGTATGCAGATGCACTAATGTTCAGCGACCTATGTGTGTTTCTCAGGGGGTTCCCAAACGAACACATTTGCCTCTGGCTTCCCACGACACCCAAGTTCCATTAATGTCTCCTCTCTCTCCTCTTCTCCAACCTCCTTCCTCTCTCCCAAGCTTAAGTGCCCCCATTTTCCCTCCCCTCCCCTGACAACACCCAAATTTCACTATCCCCCCTCTTCTAATTCCCCTCCCCCATGGTCCCCTGCATGTCCCTTCTCCCTTCCCTCCCAGCCAAACATCCCCTTTTCCCCACCTCCCTCCCACTAACATCTCTTCCTTACTATCCCCCTCTTTCAGGTTTTCTTTCCCCTTATTTCTGTGTTTCCTTTCTGTTTTAGCTGGCTCCTGCTGTTACATCAGGATATATATTCACATATAAGGGATTGGTGTTACAATCTGCAAATGAGGAAGAACATATGTCACTTTTCTGAGTCTGTGTTACTTCACTTAGTGTAACAATTTCTAGTTCCATCCCTTTACCTGCATTTTTCATAATTTCACCTTTCTTTACTGCAGAGCAGAACTCCATTGTGTAAATATACCACATTTTCATTGTCCATTTGTCAGTTGAGGGACATTTAGGTTGTTTCTATTTCTTAGCTATTGTGAAAAGAGCAGAAACAATATGAACTAAGAGTAAAGCTCAGGGGTAGGGTTTGGTGGTGGCACTCTGGCTTTAATCCCTGGCACTGAAAAACAACGAAAAACTAAAATAAATAAATAAAATTGTTGTGCATGACCTTTGGAGATGGTAGAGTAGAAAGTACCAGGAATCTGCCTCTCCTAGACTGCAGCTATGCCGGCATTAACTAAATGTAAAGTAACTGTTTTGGAACTCTGAGCCTTCTTTCAATTATTGTAATACTAAGTAGGCTGGCAGTTCTTAATTTTGGTCAATTTCGGCCTTAAACATGGTGGTGACTAAGATTACACATCCAACTCACAGACCTGTACATCTGTTTCTAGTGTAGTTTTCTCGAGTCAGATGCACAATTAAGAGCTTTGCTTTCAAATCTCAGGCTTTAGTTACAAGCCTTATTTTCCTTCTTCCTTTCTCTTCCCTCCTTCTTTCATGTTCTTCTCCTTGGTCACTCTTCATTCTTTTCATAAGTGATATGTTGAAAAGAATTTAATAATACAATATTGATGATAACTGCAGCATTATATTTTTGTATTTCCTTCAAGAGCATGGTTTCAGAGGAAGAGGCAGCAAAAAAACTTTATGACAATAATAGTCCACCAAATTCTCATCTTTTGGTCAAAGCACCAAAACAGGTGAGCTTTAAAATTTTTATTTCAGAAAGAAAATTTTAAAAGCCATTTCTTTTTAAAAACTAATATATTATTTTATTTTGTATTTAGATTCCTTTATCTCTGTCAACTCCTACATCTTTCGTGAAGTTTGGATCTCTGAGAAAAGTGCCAGAGGACCGTTGGGCTTCAATTACTAAAACTGATAGGAGAAGAAGACTAAAGGAAGCAGAAAAATTATTTGCTTAATTTCAGAAAATCAGTGATTATAGAGCCTAATAACATTAAATTTATAGCTAACTTTAAAAATTATTTTCCAAAGGGTCAAAAGTTACCCAGAAATTGAGACTTTAAAAATATTTGAATAATTTGTGTTTATTTTATTTTCTGGCCTAAATATAAAATGGCTATTATCTGAAAGTATGTTATTGTATTCAAATAATTATATTTTGTTGCCTTCACTTGCATTGAATATTAGAGTTTCAGTTTCTAATTATTGAAATTCATTATTAAAATATTTTGAGTGCAAATAGATGCTTCTCATTGATTCTGTGAGGGTATCTGAAAAGCTTATCATTGGAATTTTAAGATGAGAATGGTAAATTATATTAGTGATTTTCAGAAGTAAAGTGAAATTAAAGTGGAGGATCATTGACAGTCTTTCCACTAATTTTAGTGATTTGGAGGGATTTGAGGAGAGAATGAGAGGGAGGAAATGGAGGCCGCTTTTGCTATCAAGAATAAAAATACTCAAGAAGGAAGGAGATAAATGGGGTATTACTAGAGAGGGAAGTGGGTTAGCAGAGGAAAGCTTTTTTTGTAGAATGTCTTGCACTGAAAGGTCAGCTGTAATCCTATTGGGTTTTCCTTTTATGTGAGTTATTGTTTCTCTTTTGCAGCTTTCAGTATTTTCTCTTTGTTCTGTACGTTTAGTGTTTTTACTATGATGTGCCATGGAGAGTTTTTTTCTGGTCCTGTCTATTTGGTGTTCTATATGCTTCTTGTATTTGTATGGGCCTATCTTTCTTTAATTTTGGGAAATTTTCTTCCATGATTCTGGTTGAGGATCTGGTCCATGCCATTATCTTGGGATTCTTCTCCTTCCTGTATGCCTATGATTCGTAAGTTTGGTCTTTTTATAGTGTCACACAATTCCTGCATATTCCATTCTTGTGCTTTCTTACATTTTTCATAATCTTTGCTTGAGTGGTCTAGTTTGTCCACTTTATCTTGCCGTCTTGATATTCTATTTTCCATTTCATTCATCCTGTTGGTGAGGCTTTCTCCTGTTATTTCTAATTGGCTTACTGAATGTTTCACTTCCTTCTCCATTTCAGACTGAGTAGTCTTCAGTATTTCTAGCTCTTTTCTGAATTCATTCAGAAGTTTATCCCTATCTTCCTTTATTCAGTTCTTTGATTTCTTTGTGTGTTTTTTAAATTCACTGAATTCTGTTATCATGTTTATAATTGTTCTTTTGAGTTCCATGTCCTGCATTATCTCTAGGGGGTTCTCATTGTACTCCTCTAGAGGACTATTGGCATTTGGTGTGGATATATTATTTTGTTTTTTTTATGTTATTATTTTTTTCTGTGTGATTTTGACATGTGAATTTCTTTTGTATTTTCTGATTCTTGTGTGAGACTCAAGTCTTCAAATTTATGTCTGCTTCTTTTTATAAACTTTATGTGCCTTTGCAGTTAACTCTTTGGGCATGGAATGCTGGTTTGTCTAAGCTTCCGGTTCTCTCTTTTGATTTTATATTGGAGTGGCCAGATTGCTTTTGTCTTCACGAATTCTCACAGAGGCCCACATCAGATGAGGATCAGATGCTCTCAGGCTTTCTCCTAAGGCCTGGATCCCTCCAGGAAAGATTTTGGCCTCAGGAATTTGGGAGTTGTACTGGCCTGGGAGCAGGGCCCAGGACAGGGGCTGATCTTGGGCAGCTGGTGGCCATGCCACTCAGAGATGCAAAGGGAGATGGCGGCAGGAAGAGGCCCCAAGGGCTCCTGGGGACTGCACTGAGGAACTGGGTTGGTCTGGATGCAAAGGATCAGGAAGCTGAAAGGTCAACCCTAGTAACCAGGAAAGAGGCTGGGGGGTTGTGAAGCCCAGGGAAGCAGAGGGAAGTGAGGGCGGGACCAGGCTCAGAGTGCTCCTGGGCACCTCCAGAAGGAACTGGGTTGGTCTGTATGCAAAGGATCAGAAAGCAGTGGTGGTTCCCCTTGTGTCTGGGGCACCAAGACTAGGAATGGGACAGGACCCAGGCTAGGAGGAGAGACCAGCGAAGGGGAAATGGGAGGGTGAAGGAGGTTGGGGAGTCACGTGATCCACTTACCCAGGAGAGAGGCCTGTGGGTCTGTGCAGGCCCAGGGAAGCAGAGGGAGGTGAGGGCAGAACCAGGCCTAGAGGGCTCCCTGGTACCTCGAGAAGGAACTGTGTCCATCTCAATGCAAGGGATCAGGAAGCAGTGGTGGCCACAGGCCAAGAGGTCAACCCAGGCATGCAGGAAAGAGGCTGTCAGGCCGTGCAGCCCAGGGAATTAAAAATATTTATTATTTATTATATTTATTTTTTTGTGTATGAGTGTATTGCCTGCATGTATGTGAGTGCACCCATGTCCTGCAATGCTGTGGAGGAGGTCACAAGACAGCTTCGGAATCCCCTGGAACTGGAGTTAATGACGGTTTGTAGGTGCCATGTAGGTGCTGGGAATTGAACCCAGGTCCTCTGCAAGATCAGTCAGTTCTCTTAACCACTGAGCCATCTCTCCAGCCCCATATAACCTCATTTAATGTAATTCTTTCATATGTGTTTATGATAATTGTTTTCACTGTAATTTTACATCTAAGAAAACGTGAGAAAACTCAGTCTGACCTTAGATTCTCAAAAATAGCAGCAACAAAGCCTGTGCCTTCATTTTTACATTTATTTTATTGCATGCTAAATTATTATTTGGGGCATGTTCAATTTAAACTGTGTGTACATGCTTGTGTGTGTGCATGTGTGTGTGCGTGTGTGCATATGAATGCGTTGGGGATACATGAAAAAGACTGCATATTTTTTTATAAACTTAAGTACACTTAACTTCTTGAAATCTATCAAAATGATATTTTGGGGTCTAGTAACCATATTTCATCAAAACATGTCGTGTTATAAATACAATGCCAGGCATGGAGGCACACACCTTTAATCCCAGCACTCAGGAGGCAAAGGCAGACAAATCTCTGTGAGATTGAGTACAGCTTGATCTGCATAGTGAGTTCCAGGCAGACTGGGGCTTTGGAAGACCCTGTAAAAAAAGCCTCGAAACATGTTTTAAATACAGATTATTTATATAAAAGTCATTGGAGTCACAAAAGTTTTATTAAGCTACAAAATTTGACATTAGCTACATACATTTTTTGTGTGTATGGTATATGCATGCTTACATGCAAGTGCAGATGCCTGTGTATACATGTGCAGAGACCAGAGGTTGACAGTCATTGTTTTCCTACAGAGCTATCTACATTATTTTTTAATATATTTTAAAAATATTTTATTTATTTTTATGTGTATCAGTGTTATGCTTGCATTCGTTTAAGTGCACACTTGCCATGCAGTGTCTGCAGAGGACAGACGAGGGCATCGGATCCTCTGGAACTGGAGATACAACCGGTTGTTAGCCACCATGTGGATGCTGGGATTCAAACCTGGGTCTTCTATAAGAACAGGCAGTGCTTTTAACTGCTAGGCCATCTCTCCAGCTTAAGTTTACTATTTTATTAGAAAATTTATAGCATAATAAAAAAGTAATTACCAAGAACAATAATGGTAATATCTCATTATGTCCAAAAAATCAGTATCTGTTTAGTTCCCACTACACTAATGGTCAACGGAATAAAAAATGAAGCCCAACTCTCAAAATCACTGCTCGAACAGGACAATACTTATTGTACTCCAGTGGAATGCAGAAATGATTCTTGCTACTTCAATATGCAAAAAATTGAATTCCCGCATCCACCATAAAAAAAGACAAAAACTATGCTGCCTCTCTTTTCAAGTTATCCTTTCTTGTCCTTGATTCTAAATATTATAGTATTACTCAACACGCAAATTTGTTTACATATGTACTTGTATGCATTCTAGTCTAGATCCACATATGAGGGAAAACATGGGATTTTTTTTTTAAAAACTTTCTTAGATAGGATGACTCACTTAATATTATACATTCTAGGTCCATCCATTTTTTTTGTGATTTTTTTTGACTTCGTGTTTCT